CCTGATATAAACCCCGTCGAAAACCTCTGGGCCATACTCGACCGGCAAGTCAAGAAACAACCAAAAAAAAAAACAACTTTGAAGAGCGATCTACCCCAACTTTTGAAGCAAGAGGGGGCGAAAATCCCATAATATAAAATTGACGAGATGATTCTCACGATGCCCCAAAGGATCAACGAACTCCACAAAGCGAAAGGAAGATCTACTAGATATTAATTAAATTATAAATATATCAATTCATGTGAATATGACTGAAAAATTTAATTTTTTTTTAAAAGGTGGTGTCTATTTACTTGTGACCACGCTGTGTAGAATGTCTTATCACTATAAATGTACATATTATGTATTTTAACATTTTCGTTTGTTTTGCCAGGCTCTAGTATATCCATTTAAGCTCAGTAGCAAAGGCTATCAGTTTGATAATTCAAATCTTGGGAGAAAGAACAAAGCTTTTGTAGAAAAGTAAGTTCTGAAAATTAATATATATATACTTTGCATTCCATAGAATTAAACTTTATAGTGAAAAAATCAAAATTAATACAGGGATTTTACCATAAATATGTTGGTATGGAAGATTGTTTTTATAGTATATAAATTTATAATAGTCTGTATTTTCATGTTTATTTCTTCTCTGATTTACAAGTACCTTGCAACTTTGCAATACATTTACCTGTTTTATAAAATACTGTTGTATATTTTTCAGTTTTAGGTAGAAGTTAATATTACTAATCTTGCTTACTTTAAGAATATTTTATTTTAAAATGTACTTTGATTTCAAGGATTGAGTCTTTGATGGGTGTTGTGCCCTTGGTGGATGACTTCATAAAAGCTCTTGGCCATCTAGGTGTTCCTTATGGTGTTTTTAAGGTAGGACTATTTTTGTATGTATTTCACTTTTTTTTTAATCACTGCTTCAAAATATTATTATTATTGAAGTCTATACATCTAGTAATATTAATACAATTGTCATTTGCAAAATGAAATGTATGTCATGGAAATCTTAATCTGTGCGTGTTCAACAGTTGTATTTTACTATTTTATTGTATTTAAGCAATATAACCCAGGGACATTTTCAAAACCTACTTCATAAAGCCACATAACTCATAATTTCTTATGAAAATATTCCAAGCCACATACAATAAATTTTGGGTAAAATTGCCAAACCTGTATCTTTACTAGTGGTACATAACTGTTATTACAGCTGATCAGGCCTACATTAAACATTGTCATTCTCAGCAGTATATTGTTCATTGTGTTGTGTAGTCGATGCTTTACACGATGCTTTATCTGAAACTTTTAACATAGGCTATTCAACCTCATTTTAAAAAATCATATTATAAACATTTTGTACATTGGTTATGCTTGGTGTAAATTTAATTAGTTTATTGAATGATATCATTTAGTGTTATATTTTTTTTGTACAAATAATCAGTGAAATGTTCTGCTGTTCCAGTAATTAATTGATTTTTCTTTTTATGACGGGACTTCAACACATGAATTTATTAATCAACCATCAGAGTTATAACATTGAATCCCATTAGTTCACACTGTGTGTGTATTTTTAGATTGCTTAAAGTTGTTTTAAATATCTTCACAACTTTTGCTGAATGTTTTTTTTATTTAATGCTCTGATAATTGTTTTGTTAATTATCAGTCATTTTTATAGAGACCTGCATCGAATATGGTTTGTAGTTTACTGTTCTGATTTTTTTTTCTTGATTATTGATGAATTTTATGGAGATCTGCACTGTTATGGGGTTCATAGTTTAATTTATTGTTTTGATAATTTTCTTTCTTATCATATTTATGTAGATGTACATTATTACACAGTTCATAAGAAATAAACATCTCTTGATCATTCTGAATTTCAGAATATTTAAAACTTGACAACTAATGAAAGAACTAGTATCACCTATACTTCCTGGTAAACAGAAAAAAGATTCTAAATATCCTTGTTCGTTTGAGTAATCTTCTTAAATTTTTTTTCACATGCAAAGTTTTATTTGATATTGTGTTCTAAAACCATTTATATTTCAGAAGTTTGGCATATATTAATGAATCCTGCAATGTGCTCTTAATACAAAGTACAAAATAAAACATCCTCTACTTTTTATTTGACATTTTTAGGTTTTTCTCTGTCAATCCAGTAACCTTACAAAAGATATTTTTAATGAATGTAGCTTTGTCTTTTGTTAATTATTTGTACAGTTTTTATCTCTATTTTATAACTACATATTGACATAAAAATACTTAACTGTTGTAGGAAACTTGTCGCAATATTACTTCCTTGAAGAAGTTCAAGGAAAACTCAGAAAAAATCCAGAAAGAATTCCAAGAAATGTGGCAAGACATTTTTGACGCAGGTAATCAAGACAATAGTGGACCCGGAAAAGGATTAGTTTTTATTAACTTTGAAAAGGTATATGCAATCCCTTGATTTGTTTTCAAGTTAGAATAATTTTTTCCTATTTTTAAGTTTGTAGTGTTATATTTAAACTTCTAGAAAACTTAAGTTTGATTGGAGTTCATGATATTCTATAAGACTAAAAATCTTACTAATTATACTTCACTGTAAACCACTAGTATTGTTCTTGTACAAATAGAAATTAATTCTTAAAAAGAATAAGAAAAGCCATACAAGATATTTTACTGTTTTGATGATAGCCATAGCACGGAAATAACTATGTAATCATTTCTTAGTTTAATAATGTGTTTTATAATTTAAACAGAAGTATAACATACAGCCTACTACTAATACTTTATAGGTCAAGACCTGCTCTCTTGCACTGTTATGCATAAACAGTTGTTACTTCTTCTGGTACTGCATATTCAAAGATAGCTGGCACAATTATGAACAGTATAACAAGATATATATATTTTGTTCTTTACTTCAGTTCATAAAATAAAGATTATTAGAGAACTTTGAGCCCAACCTTCTGTATTTGTTCTAAAGCTTGTTTTAGGCTCAAAATTTCTTTTTATTTTAAGGGTTTTGTTTACTAGGTTTTCTTAAACACCCTGAAAACACTTTATTTTTACTATACATCTGCTCTGTACAGCATGTAAGCTTTTTTTTTTATATTTGCTAGAATTTCTATTTTTTAATTTATTTCAGAAGTACAAAAAGAAGGTGGTCGACTTATGTGGACAGAACGGAAACAGGATTCTTTCAATGAGCACAAAGGTATATTATAAACATCAATAGTTTAATAAAGAATTGCATATATTCTCATTCATTTTCTATATCTATGGTTAGTAGTTAATAACTTTGTGCTTCACAGACATTTTCCTGTAATGTATATTAAATGTACTCTCATATACTGACTATTTTTTTTACTTTCATATACTCTATACATATACTTTATTCTCCTATATTGTATCTTTACCTTACTCTCTTGTACTGTATATTTAACTTATTTCTCCCCTCTATACACTTACTTTCTCTCCTTTACAGTATACTTACATTACTCTCCTTTACAGTATACTTACATTACTCTCCTGTCTATATATTTACCTTACTCTCCTATGTTGTATATTTACATTACTCTCCTGTCTATATATTTAACTTATTCTC